ATGACCGGGTCATTACAGGCTTGAGGAACATCTTTAGACTAGTACGAATAATCAAACATATACCAACAATCAATAGCAAGGTGATTTGATCTCCCACAAATTTGACACGTGACTTCACCATTATTGTTTGCATTGTTGGGAAGTTGTTGATGTTGTCCCGAAGGATTTAATTCTTTTGATTGAATATTGTCGTTGCTGGACTATCCTTGATTATAGTTGTTGTTTTGAGGGTTTTGACTTCCATTCTGAGCTGTGTAACACCTAGCATGTGTGAAACCTCTACCCCTTGAGTTGAATTGTCCTCTGCACCCTCGACCGTTTCGACCTCAACCATGTTGTCCAAAGAAGGCTCGTGCATGCTTGAAGTGGGTTTTTTCTTCCTCCTTTTGTGTAGCCAATGATTGTTCATGGCCTTGAAGGGCTAGTATGAATGGACTAAATGTTAGATATAGGGGTTTGGTAAGCATAGCTACGCGTCCATATATTTTGGACCCAAACCACGAACGAATTGGAACACCTTGTTGAGGTTCAAAACTAGCTTTTTGGTGCCAGGGAGATTATTACAAATGGACTTAAAATCATTCAAGTACTCTTCTAGAGATTGAGACTATTGATCAATGGGTAGATTTTGTGAGTGTCTGGAGGAAATAATTCCAGAGCTATTGCCTTGAATATGTCCATGATCATATGCATTGTTATGGGAATTATTTCCTTTAACAGCTGGAATTGTTGTCTCTAACTGCTATAAGAAAAATTCTATACATAGGATACTTATATGCAGCAAACAAATTCTGTTCAACACACAGAACAATCTTAGCATAATTTTTTTTTTTTTTTTTTCAATCTCAATTCATGTATCTTGACATTCCCTGCAATGTATTTACATAATGTTTAATTCCAGTCATGCACTTCGTTCCTTTACTTTCTAGTAAGTAATTTCCAATTCATTTTCTTTCAAGTCCTGCACTTATACTTTTAATTTCTTTCCAATTAGCTATAGAAAACTCCATAAGTCATTTTTCAAGGCAAAAAGATCCCTCGAAGGTAGTCATTCCAGTCCTTCTCACAATTGCCCGATCTTGTAAGTTTCTACTAGACTCTTATTCAAATCTTCTTTGGAACGACAATAGATCCTGGCACGCCCACACTTTTCAGTTCCCCTAGAAATGACAGTTATTTTATAAGGCTAAACACGTATAATGTGGCAACAAGTGAAACACAATTACAGAGTCTATATCCCACCTTTTCTTTCAACGCCCCTTCTTTAACCATATATGGAATTTATGCCAACGTGTGTGCAGATGCTACTCTATCCCCCTAATTGCAACTTCTAATTAACTAGATGACATACCATCGAGGAGCAGCTGATAGTGCTTACTTATTCTTTTTGAGTAGATGGTTATTTACATGATAGCAAACAAAGTCTTGTGTTCAAACCTTGCCGCCACGCTAATAATTAAAATTAAAATAGGTGTTTGACCAAAAGAAGGCCACATGTGGAGGATCTGTTGAAAGATTTAAATTTTGCTTGGTTTAGTTGAAGGGATGAAAAAATGGATGAAAGAGAGAGGGGGAGGGACGGATAAAGCATCATTGCCTAAGGAAAGGTGTCTCCCTCATTTTTTGTTTGGCTGAATGGAATGGATAGTAGACATGATAGATGGAGTGACATTGTTTTTTGTTTAGTTGGAAGGAAGGAAAAGAGAGTTTTTTTACCAATACACCCTCATTATAGAGTAGGTGGTTGTTAACAATAGGATTGTGTATGCTCAATTTATTGTAATAAGAAAGGAAAGGAACTCTAGATTTTTTTAATTCTATTTTATTTTTTATTATTTTTTAAATAAATGGGCACACAAACCCATAATATTGCCCCTAGCATACTCGAACACTGAATCTCCCTTTTGTGAGGAGAGACCACATCATTTGGACTCTTCAGCTGGAAACAGAAGCATTAATTAACACGGCAATAAAAGAATAGAAGGGGGAAATGAAAATTTTGGTTTGGAGGATGATATCCTATATTCTGTGATCTACCTTTTTCTTGCTTCAAGTAGTTTCAAAATACAGCAATGTCTATTGGAAATAAACTTGATTTTAGAATTTTAGTAGTAATTAGTATTTTCAAGTATTTGGTATACATGATGCATGTGTGCATTTCATGTTAGTGGGGTAGTAAATGGTCTTGATGGAGAAGGTTATGTAAGACTAAGAGGTATGGGAATTAAGCCTCCTAAACACTATGTTAGTGGGAGTTATGCTACTAATGGTTATGTTAGTGGGAGTAATGGGAGTTATGGACATTTAAGTGTAATTGGTTGCATATGTCTAGAATCCTATATAAACTCATGTAATGGACCTATTTTATATGTGAGTAGAAAAATAAAATGAAATAGTATAAGTGAAATAAAAGTATTTTCTTCCATTTTATTCTCTTCCAAATATTATATTAGTGTTGTGTGTGTATCTAAACCACTATTTTCAACAAAGTGGTATCAGAGCAAAAGCCAACAAATTGGTATTAGAGAAAAAGCCAACAAAGTGGTATTAGAGCCAGATTTTATGTTCAGAGTCTAGACGATCCTGAAGGCCTGACAAAGTTGATCCCATAAGGTTCAACATTTTGAGAAAAGCATGTTTCTCTTTGATGCTAATGAAGAGGGGAAAATGTATTTTCTCAGTGAGAAGATGATGTTCTCTGATTACAAGAGAATGAAAATCATCATGACTTCATACCTCAAAGCATGTAATTTGTGGGATGTTGCTGGAGAAGAGCCAAAGAATGGCATGTCCAACAAGATTCGTGTGAAAAAAGAAGAGAATTCATTGATAGTGTTACAAAAGGCAATACATCAAGAAACTTTGGAGTATTTTGCAGAGTCTAAAACTCCAAGTTGTGTTTGGAAGATGCTCAAAATCATCGTTTCAAATCATAAAGGTGAATCACTACCCATAGAGTATTGGGCACAATGCTTTGAGGATGATGAGTTTACGAAGGCTAATTACAAAAGTGTAGAGGACAATTTTGTGGAGAATGAAGAGGCATATAATGCATATCAAGTTGAAGAATTTGAAGAACAACTTGAAATGGTGAATGAGGAAGAGGTAAAGAAAGGTGCTGAAGAAGAGATTGAAAAAGTTGAGGAGAATGAAGTTAAAAGAGAAAATAAAGAAGAATAAAGTGCTAAAGAAGATGCACAAGTTGATGAAGTTGGTAAGTTAACAATTCTAGGTATGGTTACAAATTATATATTCAAATAAACTATATTTGACTTATTTGATGCAATTATGATTTCTTCATATTCATCCCAATTGAAAAATGAAAAATGAAATAAAATATTATGATAATTGTGTTCATGTTGTGGAGAATGACGAACTTCGCTTAAAGAAAGTTATTCCTATGAAGTATGAGATTGAAGCTCAAGATGATAAGAATATCTCAAATTATTTTTTGAAAAATGGTTTGGAGAATTTTTTAATTGACACAGGTTGGGTTGATATGGAGTATTTTTTTATTCCAAAGAAGAAGCACATTTGAAGTTCAAGAAGTATCGAAATTTCAAGAAGAAAGAAGACAGATGGAGTGCTTGTGTGAAGAAGATAAAAATTGATCACGAAAAGACATTATTCAAGCATTTGAAGATTTTTCACAAACCATGTACATCCATGGAAATGGCCAAGAAGATTAATGCAGTTGAAGGAGGTGGAACTAAAGACCAGCTAACAAACTTTTGATCAAGCTGCCAAGATCAATAATACTTTTACTTTCAAGTTCCAAAAATCAAGTGTAAAGGGTAGTGTTGGAAATAAACTTGATTTTTGAATTTTAGTAGTAATTAATATTTTCAAGTATTTGGTATACATGATGCATGTGTGCATTTCATGTTAGTGGGGTAGTAAATGGTATTGATGGAGAAGGTTATGCAAGACTAAGAGGTATGAGAATTAAGTCTCCTAAAAACTATGTTAGTGGGAGTTATGCTACTAATGGTTATGTTAGTGGGAGTAATGGGAGGTTATGAACATTTAAATGTAATTGGTTACATATGTCTAGAATCCTATATAAACTCATATAATGGACCTATTTTATTTATGAGTAGAAGAATAAGATGAAATAGTAAAAGTGAAATAAAAGTATTTTCCTCCATTTTATTCTCTTCCAAATATTATATTAGTGTTGGCTCTGTATCTAAACCACTATTTTCAACTAAGTGGTATCAAAGCAAAAGCCAACAATTTGATATAAGAGAAAAAACCAACAATGTCCGCAGCCTTGATGGTAAATGATTCCAGGTGCTGATGGTGCCTCCTTTTGGGGAGTAACTGCTTTTAATTTGGATCTTTTAGGTTCTCTTGAGGTGGTGGTTGATCCCTGATGTACTTGGTAATTTTAGTATCTAAATGGTCTCTGGTGATGTTTATGTTTTGAGCTCCCTTACAAGTTGTACAGATGCTTGTAAGGTGGCTTTTTTGGAGGCTCTGTTTCTGAAGTGTGTCATTGTGTGTGTGTGTGTGTGTTTTTTTTTTTTTTTTCTTCCTCTTTTGTAGTTAGGCCTAGGTTTTGTTTTTGTATCGGCTTGAGGCCTTGTAGCTTCTTTTCTGTTTTTGGGGTTAGTCCCCATTGTTGTACATTTCTTTCTTATCTATACAATGATTACCTTTATAAAAAAAATAAGAGCGCACTTGGAATATATATATATATGGCATAGGAACTTTAACAACTTGACCCATAAAAACATATATATCAGTATGTAGGTAACAAGGGGCAAAGCATAAAGTAGAAAAAACAAGTGAGAGAATAAATTAATCCAGTGCTTTATACATTCCTGCTGGAGGATCATCAATTACTTCAAAGCCGCACACATCAAAGTAACAGACATAATCATAAAGTATGAGTATCAAGACGCTTTTAGTCATTCCAAGAAAGGAATCTTGTGGAATTCTAGTATACGTTGTATTGTTGGATTTGTCTAGCTCAAGCTGTTAAGACACATGTCAAGACTGTGTCCAGAATTAATCCAATGTGAGGGACAATCTATTCTAGAGTCCCCTTGGTGTGAAGCAAATTTTATGCTTAATGGGAAGAAAATTCTTATAAAATGAATGCATGATAATCAGGTTGTTCCAACTGCTAGAGCAAGCTGAAGCGCGACGCGGAATGGGAGATCAAAACAACTGGGTGATCAGAGTAAACGATGAACTCAATCGTGTGTCAGAGAATTCGTTGGAGAAAGAGACGGAGGAATGGAAGAAACGATCCATTTACAAAGTGCCCATTGCTGTCGCAGATCTAAACAAGAAAGCGTACAGGCCTCAGACGGTGTCATTTGGCCCTTACCATCATGGTGAGGGGTCTTTGAAGCCTATGGAGGAGCACAAGCGCCGCGCTCTGCTTCATTTCCTCAAAAGATCAAAGAAACCTCTTCAATTGTATGTCAACTCTCTAGCCGAAGTGGTGCAACAATTGAAAGATTCGTACGATTGTCTTGACAAAAAATGGCAAGAAAACACTGATGAGTTCTTGCAGTTGATGATTTTGGATGGTTGTTTCATGCTGGAAATCTTGCGCACAGCCACTCTCAGTATGGCTGATTATGCTCACAATGATCCAATCTTCAGTGACCATGGAAAGCTATATATCCTGCCATACATCAAGCGAGACATGCTCATGCTTGAAAATCAGTTGCCCATGCTGGTTCTCAGTAGGCTGCTTGCGGTTGAAGATAAGAAAGCTATGGTGATTACAATTACTCTCTCTTTATATTTATGTTTTATTACTTATGCAAAGAACATGATAGAAAACACTAAGTAGTTTAGGGCCTTTTTGGTTCAGTTTTTTCATAATAATTTGGTGTTTTTTAGATAATTGAAAACTAATGTCATTGACTATTTCTGAAAACAGTTGATTGGTAGAATTATAAAAGACAGTCCTCTAAAAACATGGCTTTTATTAAATTGAGTTTTTAGAAGGAAAAAAAAAGTGCTAAAAGACTATCGGCCAAGTAGATTTTTGTACACCAAGGGCCTTGTCACCTTCCAAAGTGAATGGTGAGATTCGAGTCCGCAAAGGGAAAAAATGAGTGTGTGAGGGGTAGGGGCAGACCTAGAACTTTAGGTAAAGTAAGACAAGATTGAAATTTTGTAATAATTTTAGGGGAGCATTAGCAATATTTTTAGAGTATATATTGAAAAAAGGATAAAATAACGAGTAATGTTAGTAAAACAATTATTTTTATAATTATTGAAACTAGTTTTTTGTTTTCCAAGTCCTTAAACTTTAAAAAGAAAAAAATTACTAAACCAAATAGGCCATTAGTTTATTCCCTTTTTTTTTTCGGACAATAAAAAGAAGTATACTCAAATGCAGGAAGATGAAGAGTTTGTCAATACGCTCATTGTCAAATTCTGCTCCCTCCACGTTAGCACGAAAAAAAGAATGGGAAAATGCTTGCATGTATTGGATGTGTATAGGAAGAGCCTGCTGTCGGGAGAACCCCCTAAGAAAAAAGATCATTGGAAACCAAGCTCTTCAAGTGGTGATGAGATCATCCGGTCAGCGTCTGAGCTTAATGAAGCCGGAATCAGATTCAAGAAAAGTAAAAGTGTAAGCCTCAAAGACATCTCATTCCATGGCGGAGTCCTAAGACTACCTCGCATTGTGGTGGACGACGTGACAGAGCCGTTGTTTCTCAACCTGATAGCTTTTGAGAGGTACCATGTCGGGACAGGGAATGAGGTGACCTCCTATATCTTCTTCATGGACAGCCTCATCGACACTGTCAGGGACGTTAGCCATTTAAACTCCCGAGGTATCATCCAGAATGCCATCGGAAGTGACAAAGCTGCGACTAAACTATTCAACAATCTCTCTAAAGATGTCACAATCGACCCGAACTGCAGCCTCAATGAAGTGCACAAGGAGGTCACTCACTACTGTAGCAAGCGGCTGAACCAGTGGCGCGCCAATCTTATTCACACCTACTTCACAAATCCGTGGGCTATTCTGTCTGTCATTGCTGCCATTTTCCTCTTTGCTCTCACCATAATTCAAACCATATACTCCATTCTTGGTTACTATCACGCTGAATAATCAGATCTCATTGATTTCTGTCTGTTCAGTGTTCATTATATATATCTGCAGCTTGAGTGCTTCAATCCATCTATCAATTGTTTGCTTTTCCATACCAATTTGATTTGATTGATTTCAGAACATTGTAACCTTTTTGTGACCTTGGTAATTGAATAAAAATATTCTTTGTAATTATTTAATAATTTGGTTGGCATGCAGTAATGAATAATATTTTATTTATTTATTTTTGTTAGTGAAGAACGAACCCTCACCCCGTAAACAACTTGCATCAATTTAAGTTCAGGCCTCCGATAATTCTCGAGCTGGCTATGGAAGAGTAGTAGTTTCAAGAACTGTACCAGTTGAGCTAGCTTATCTGGCCATAATTAAAGGTAGTTTACCTAACTATATAATATAAAAGTTCAATAGACTATGCCAAATATATAACATTCAAATCAACAAGTTACTGAAAAAACAGTCTAAAATTATGATAGAAATATTCGAATAACCCTAAATTTCCATTTGCTTGAGCTACTCTTTCTATATCAGCTCTACAAAGTTTTTAAAAAATATATAACATTCAGATCAATGTCATTTCCAAGCCTTCCAGGAGAATGGGATATATATATATATATAATACCATCTCAGACCGAAGCCCAGTGGAATCAGATATTACAAGTAAAATGGTATACCATTCTTGACAGATAGATAGTTCTTTTGTACCAATGTTGAATGCCTTAAATTTTTTGGCAGCATTACAAGCTAGTCCAATGTCTCCTAGTACTCCACATTTCACATTTAAAAGGGAATATAATGACATTAGTTTACTTTGGCACTATAGTTTTACAATGAAATTCCGTCTCAGAATTCTGAAGCCTTGTTTAAAAAAGGTTAAAGTATTAAACAGAACTTAAAAAGAAACAAAAAATGATGGATTTCTTACAAAAATTGACCATTTTACCCCTAAAATAACTTTTTGCATAGAGAAAATAATCTTTGCCCTTGTTATATATATACCTTTCCCAAGGCTTTTCAAAATTTACAACATTCTCGAATTTTGACTTTTTTCCCAAAACTTCCTTGTTATCAACCTCAACCTTGTAACTTCTTACCAAGAAATTCTCATCATCCATGAATTCCTTATTTCCCTCAAGTTTTGGTTGAACTTTTGGAACAAGTTCCTCAACATCGCTATCGTCACTGCCTAGGTTAATTGTCTTTGTTTGTGTTCTATCCTTACTGTATCCCAACCCAATAGTACTAGATGATGCACCATCATAAAAAGAAGCTGAAGGTAACTCAACAATAGCTACATATATATTTATGAACATTCTATTCTCTAATACTGTGTTTGGTGTGCAATAATGGAATGAGAATATGAATGGAATGGAATGACCATTCTCATTATATTGTTTGATTGTAAATATGAATTGTGTAGGAATGAAATGATAATAACTATTCTAGTATTTGGTTGGACTAATTTAATTAAAATTTAGAATGGAATAAATTTCAAATTGAGTTATCCAAAACATCCCTCTTAGTAACAAATAAATTAAATTACAAAAATGACATTCTTCTATAATTTTTTAAAATTAAATGGTGGTAGTGGCGGTGGTGGAGATGGAAAGCGGTAGTGGTACAGACGGTATAACACATGTCATTCTGGTGAAGTTCCGTTATTTTTCTATTTTTGATAATCAATGTAATCTAATTTTTCCTTCATGAGTTAGATTACATGTTGTCTAGGGATTTTGTTACGAATTACCAAAGGGGGGCATTGTGAGATGTAATTTTTGTAATTGGCAAATTTAAGTGTCAAAACGAAGTCCAAATCGAGTTGTAATTTTCAACTTACTTTTGAGCCTCAATGTCAAAAGTGGAACAAGTGCATGCATACTGTAATGTTTGTAATTTCTTTATATATATATATATATAAAGTTAAGTTAATAAAAAAAAAAAAAAATTTATTTGGGCTGGGACCCACCACAAACATAAGTCATTACAAATGACTTATGATTTTTTACAGAACTCATTAGTTTTCTCTCTCTGTGCATGTCTCTCTCTTCCAGTAGCTTCATTTCTCTTTTTCTTTTTTCCTTCTACAAAATTCAAGTTTCAATTAATCTCTCATCTCTTAGAGATTTTGGGAACCGTTTATGGCAAAACGGAGAGCACGGCGAGATCTACGTCTGAGTACAAGCAATTCATCATTTCGTGTACTCTAGGGATTTCGAAATTCTAGGGTTCTTGGACTCAAATTGGGTCTTTTTTCTCTCATTTGAGGTAGGGGAGTTTTAATGCATGAATTCTTGTATTTTTGTGAGTTTCTAGCTTAAAGTGATGTCTAGCATGTTTAATTAGTGCTAATTCTTGCAAAGATTTGTTTTAAATAATAAGCATGGAATGAATGTGACTATTTATTAATTGTTTTAAGGCGATTTAGCATGTTTACATGTTTATATGAAATTGAATCTATATTTTACATGCTAGTTATGCAAATTTAATATTAAATGAGAGCTCCATCATGTAATTTATAAATTTGTCTTGTATGGTATGTGTGAAAGTTGTATGGTTGGGTTGAGAAATTGAAGCACAAGCATTCATGCATTCATTGGGAAAGAGAAAGAAAAAATATATATATATTTTTAAAACAAATGAAATTGTTTTAGGGAAAATATTTTCTAAAAGTGTTGGGAAAACTGGACACCTAGGAGGCGCCTAGTGGTCCATGATGTTGGTGTAGTTTAGAAGGGAATGTAGTTGAGTTAATTAGGCCGAATGTGATGCCTTAGAGGTGCCTTGTGGTCGTAGATAGTTAACCAACCTTCTTTTCGTGACGCCTTGGAGGTGCCTTGGGTCGGATTACACTAACGGTTTGGTTGTTGAAACGGAAATGTTTCAGAAAATGGGGAGTGACATTTGCATAATATTGCACTTCATGACATTGTGGTAAACTTGTGATTGGTTGATATTTGCTACATACATGCTGTTGTGGTTGAGAATGTGCGTTCCCTTATGGCATGACCTCATTTACTTTTTATCTATTCATTGTATGGATTTACGGGGATATAAGAAGTGTGTCTTAGACACTTCCTACTGAGCTTATGCTCACCCATTATTTTAAATATTTTTCAGGACATGGAAAAGAGGTGGCGGACGACGATCCACCATAATTTTAGACGAGTTTGGAGATCTATTTTATTTTCCTATCTTTTGTATTAGAATTTTAATATTTATAAATGTAATCTTAACTATTTTGTGAAACTTTAGTTTAATTGGTACAATATTGTAAACTATGGACTTTTAAATTTTATCTACATTTTATGGACTATAACTTGATATAACTAAGGTGTGTTCATTGTTTGGATGAGATGGAGGAAGGGGATTTTTGATATGTATGTAATCATTTTGGGAATGTGATATAATAATTATTGTATTATGCGTTGGGACAAGATAGGTTAGTTTTAAGGCCCAGTGAGGTCATTGCATTATTTTTTTGTATTTCAACAGGTTATAGAAGGACTTTTTCTGCGGAGGTCATGCCGAAATTTTATATATTTATTATTATTATTTTGGTATCTTTTTGGGGCGTGACAAATTTGGTATCAGAGCAATGGTTCGAAAACTATTAGGACGACGGGTAGAGGCCTACTTAGGATTATGGGGAAGGTGGATTGAATTGTTTATGTGCTTATGTGTTAAACTATTTATTATTTAAGAAGCCTGCTTATTTGATTGAAGTGCTTATGTGTTTACGGTTTTAAAAAGGCATGCTTATTTGCTATGTGTTCACATACTTATATGTTTCATTGCTAAAATGTGTGTTATATGGCCATGATGATGAAATGTATAAATAGTTGAAAATATATTAATTATGATACAATGACAAGAGTGATTTAGGTGGTAATGACAAATGGTAGGCACAGTGTGTGCAGTTTTATTTTAACTGTTAATGTGACAAGTTGTAAGCACGGTAGGTGCAAGCATGTCTCGTATGTATTGTGACGGTTATTTAGGTATGGTTAAGCAAGTATATAAAAAAGATAATAATAATACTAATAAAATGAATGAAAGATAGGGTATTTAAAATTTTTTTTATGATGGGACACAATTATATCTTGGTATGGGGTATGGTTATTATGTATGTGTGTTCACGTGTGTACATTCGGTTGGGTACGGGATGGTTGCTAGTACGGTAGAGTACTTGTTACGGCACTGATGGTTATGTGAGTTTTGACTTGAGTAGGCAAGGAGCTCGGTTACTCTAGGGTTGTTGGGTGTCGGTTCTTATCAAACTAATGGCGTAGGTCTTTAGCTTGTGGATTGAGCTATTCGGTGCATGGTTGCCTTATTTTTCTTCTTATTTTTGGGGTGTAGTTCTTGGGGCATATCATAATGCGATGTTCGGGGTTAGACGTACAAGTTTCAGGTGTTAGTGTATGGGATTTTGTGACTGTGGAGGTCAGGTGTGCACTGTGGGGGAGAGGTATGACCTTATGGGGTTAGTATTCGTGACTTGGGTCACAGTTTGGTACTGAGGTTCTCTTCGAGTCGGTTTGTAGTGAGCGTGATAGAAATTGCTTGAGTCATGAGTGTAATCTATTGATTGTAAATGTGTATTTCAAGCATTTTGGAATGGCTTAAGGAAGTGTGTTGGTTTTTACTGTCATGGAAACTTATTGGATTCTGTAGGTCTATGGTGATTTAGGATCGGTTGCCGGATCTAGATCATTTCATGGTCTTGTAGGAGTCTGTTTTAGAGACTGGTTTATCGAGGAGTGATTCACATTTCGAAGAGTTATAGGAGTGCGTTGCAGGTAATTGACTCTCGGTAAGTTGATTTTATGGCTTGGTGGATGAGCAGGGTTATAGGTTGGCATGGTTATTAAGAGAGACTTGAGGTGGCGTATAATGATTAGTTTTAGCTGTGTAGTGCAAGGTTGCACTATGCGGCAGGTAGTATGGGGTCATTAGAGTGTTTGGTTATTTGCGGATGAATTAATAGCTGGTGAGTATTGTGTTATAAAATGAATTGTGTTGTAGAATTTGAAAGCTGTGGATTAGGGTTGTATTTCAGATTGCGTCTGGAGTATCAAGAGATAATGCTTGTTGTTTGAGGATTCGAAGAGATAGACTAATGATTGGAGTGATTGGGGCGAGGTTGATCTTGTAGGTTAGTTGGTAGCCCCATTTG